GGTCGACTTAACGACCGGGCTGAAAGTCTCCGTGAAGTCATGACCGTACTGTTGATGAAAGCCTTTGGCGACGAGGCGTGCCTTGTACCTATCAATTTCACCATTAGGACGATATTTGAGGGTAAAAATCCACTTACATCCAATGACGTTTTGTGTAGGACTTGGAGGCACCAAGTGAAACGTGCCATTGCGAGTCTGGGCATTTATCTCATCACACATCGCCTGTCGCCACTTGGGATCGTGCATTGCCTCTGCTGTCGTGGTTGGGATTTTGGGAGTGGGATTTGTGGTGGTGACAAGAAGTGAGGTCTTTCGGGTTGGTTTGATGATGTTGTTTTTGGACCGAGTTTGCATGGGATGGTTATTTGTAGTTGGTGGTGGTTGATTTACGGGAATCGGAGGTGGTGAAGGAGAAGGAGATGGTGAAGGAGAAGGTAGGGAAGAGGATGAAGATGACTCGTGGTTACGAGGGTGATTGTTGGTGTGTGTAGATGGGCTGGATAAAGGTGTTGGTGGTAATGGGCCTGATGATGTTGGAGATGGGCCGGATGAAGATGAAAGGCCCGTTTGTGTATTGGAAACAGAGGCAGAAGCGGACGATGATGCAGACGGGGTGTGATGAGATACGACCGGTGACGACGGAGCTGTAGTGGCAGTCGACGGCGGCGAGGGGTGAGGAGCTGAGCACGGGCGAGACAACGGAGGAGCTTGTACGAGGGAGCTTGTTACGACCGGAATGATTGGAGACCGTGAATCGTGTGTGTGCTCGTGTTCACATATGGGTGACGGATCCGAGTGTGGTTGAGCAAAGGGAAAGCTCGACTCCACAAATTGGACATGTCGTGAGACATATATCCGACCCGTAATTCTATCGAGACACAAGTAAGCACTCTGTGTTAAGGAGTAACCAAGAAACACACATGGCAGTGAGCGACTCTCCAATTTGTGTGATGTGTTAGGTCGAATCCACGGAAAGCATGTACACCCAAATACCCGAAGCTTGTTATAATTTGGTGTTTGACCAAACAATTTGCTGTATGGAGAGACATTTCCCAGCACCGGTGTGAGCAACCGGTTAATAAGATAAGTAGCGGTCGTGAACGGATAACTCCAATAGGTAGTCGGCATGGACGCAGTGCTGAGGAGAGCAAGACCGGTTTCAACTATGTGACGGTGCTTGCGTTCAGAGATACCGTTCAACTCCGGAGTATGTGGTGGCGTCGTTAAATGTGTTATCCCACGTGAGACAAGAAACGAGCGCAGCGCAATGAACTCACCACCATTGTCCGAGTAGAGAGTACCAATCTTGTGTTTGAAATTGTTTTCCACAAGGCCAGCAAATGCACCAAAGATATCACGTACATCCGACTTCCGTTTCATTGGATACAACCATGTATATCGTGTGTAATGATCCACGATAACAAGATAGTACTTGAAGTTATCAACCGACACAATTGGCGAGGTCCACACGTCCGTATATAGGTATTCAAGAGGGTGATAAGAGGCGATTGTGTTTGAATAAAATGGGAGTTTATGGCTCTTATTGATAAAACATCCAGAACAAGACAACTTTTGGTTTAAAGGAGTAGAAATGGGTAAAGAAAATTTAGAGATAAGTGTTTGTAAAACAGGGTAAGACGGGTGGCCAAGCCTTGAGTGCCAAGAAATCATATCGGTCTTTGACGTTGGTGTTGCAAACATTGCTTTAGCACCAGACGACGTAACAGGCCACTCGTACTGCTCGTTCCTAGTCCTCCCTTGGATGAGTTTGGCCCCCGTGCTGAGCTCCTTCACCTGAAAGTGAGCAGGGAAAAATTCCACCGAAACTCG